TGCGTGAATTCGTTCATTTAGAAAAAAGTTGGAAACGAAAATTTGGGATTTGGGGCTAAAAAACCAATTTTTCCAATTTTTCACATTCGAATTTGTAAAAAGACAGATGAAGCAAAATTAAGAACAAAACTATAATTGTGACTAGTGTTTTACAGAAAGATATGCGTGAATTCGTTCATTTAGAAAAAAGTTGGAAACGAAAATTTGGGATTTGGGGCTAAAAAACCAATTTTTCCAATTTTTCACATTCGAATTTGTAAAAAGACAGATGAAGCAAAATTAAGAACAAAACTATACTTGTGACTAGTGTTTTACAGAAAGATATGCGTGAATTCGTTCATTTAGAAAAAAGTTGGAAACGAAAATTTGGGATTTGGGGCTAAAAAACCAATTTTTCCAATTTTTCACATTCGAATTTGTAAAAAGACAGATGAAGCAAAATTAAGAACAAAACTATAATTGTGACTAGTGTTTTACAGAAAGATATGCGTGAATTCGTTCATTTAGAAAAAAGTTGGAAACGAAAATTTGGGATTTGGGGCTAAAAAACCAATTTTTCCAATTTTTCACATTCGAATTTGTAAAAAGACAGATGAAGCAAAATTAAGAACAAAACTATGTTTGTGACTAGTGTTTTACAGAAAGATATGCGTGAATTCGTTCATTTAGAAAAAAGTTGGAAACGAAAATTTGGGATTTGGGGCTAAAAAACCAATTTTTCCAATTTTTCACATTCGAATTTGTAAAAAGACAGATGAAGCAAAATTAAGAACAAAACTATAATTGTGACTAGTGTTTTACAGAAAGATATGCGTGAATTCGTTCATTTAAAAAAAAGTTGGAAACGAAAATTTGGGATTTGGGGCTAAAAAACCAATTTTTCCAATTTTTCACATTCGAATTTGTAAAAAGACAGTGGAAGCAAAATTAAGAACAAAACTATAATTGTGACTAGTGTTTTACAGAAAGATATGCGTAAATTCGTTCATTTAGAAAAAAGTTGGAAACGAAAAATTGGGATTTGGGGCTAAAAAACCAATTTTTCCAATTTTCCACATTCGAATTTGTAAAAAGACAGATGAAGCAAAATTAAGAACAAAACTATAATTGTGACTAGTGTTTTACAGAAAGATATGCGTGAATTCGTTCATTTAGAAAAAAGTTGGAAACGAAAATTTGGGATTTGGGGCTAAAAAACCAATTTTTCCAATTTTTCACATTCGAATTTGTAAAAAGACAGATGAAGCAAAATTAAGAACAAAACTATAATTGTGACTAGTGTTTTACAGAAAGATATGCGTGAATTCGTTCATTTAGAAAAAAGTTGGAAACGAAAATTTGGGATTTGGGGCTAAAAAACCAATTTTTCCAATTTTTCACATTCGAATTTGTAAAAAGACAGATGAAGCAAAATTAAGAACAAAACTATAATTGTGACTAGTGTTTTACAGAAAGATATGCGTGAATTCGTTCATTTAGAAAAAAGTTGGAAACGAAAATTTGGGATTTGGGGCTAAAAAACCAATTTTTCCAATTTTTCACATTCGAATTTGTAAAAAGACAGATGAAGCAAAATTAAGAACAAAACTATGTTTGTGACTAGTGTTTTACAGAAAGATATGCGTAAATTCGTTCATTTAGAAAAAAGTTGGAAACGAAAATTTGGGATTTGGGGCTAAAAAACCAATTTTTCCAATTTTTCACATTCGAATTTGTAAAAAGACAGATGAAGCAAAATTAAGAACAAAACTATAATTGTGACTAGTGTTTTACAGAAAGATATGCGTGAATTCGTTCATTTAAAAAAAAGTTGGAAACGAAAATTTGGGATTTGGGGCTAAAAAACCAATTTTTCCAATTTTTCACATTCGAATTTGTAAAAAGACAGATGAAGCAAAATTAAGAACAAAACTATAATTGTGACTAGTGTTTTACAGAAAGATATGCGTGAATTCGTTCATTTAGAAAAAAGTTGGAAACGAAAATTTGGGATTTGGGGCTAAAAAACCAATTTTTCCAATTTTTCACATTCGAATTTGTAAAAAGACAGATGAAGCAAAATTAAGAACAAAACTATAATTGTGACTAGTGTTTTACAGAAAGATATGCGTGAATTCGTTCATTTAAAAAAAAGTTGGAAACGAAAATTTGGGATTTGGGGCTAAAAAACCAATTTTTCCAATTTTTCACATTCGAATTTGTAAAAAGACAGATGAAGCAAAATTAAGAACGAAACTATAATTGTGACTAGTGTTTTACAGAAAGATATGCGTGAATTCGTTCATTTAGAAAAAAGTTGGAAACGAAAATTTGGGATTTGGGGCTAAAAAACCAATTTTTCCAATTTTTCACATTCGAATTTGTAAAAAGACAGATGAAGCAAAATTAAGAACAAAACTATAATTGTGACTAGTGTTTTACAGAAAGATATGCGTGAATTCGTTCATTTAAAAAAAAGTTGGAAACGAAAATTTGGGATTTGGGGCTAAAAAACCAATTTTTCCAATTTTTCACATTCGAATTTGTAAAAAGACAGATGAAGCAAAATTAAGAACAAAACTATAATTGTGACTAGTGTTTTACAGAAAGATATGCGTAAATTCGTTCATTTAGAAAAAAGTTGGAAACGAAAATTTGGGATTTGGGGCTAAAAAACCAATTTTTCCAATTTTTCACATTCGAATTTGTAAAAAGACAGATGAAGCAAAATTAAGAACAAAACTATAATTGTGACTAGTGTTTTACAGAAAGATATGCGTAAATTCGTTCATTTAGAAAAAAGTTGGAAACGAAAATTTGGGATTTGGGGCTAAAAAACCAATTTTTCCAATTTTTCACATTCGAATTTGTAAAAAGACAGATGAAGCAAAATTAAGAACAAAACTATAATTGTGACTAGTGTTTTACAGAAAGATATGCGTAAATTCGTTCATTTAGAAAAAAGTTGGAAACGAAAATTTGGGATTTGGGGCTAAAAAACCAATTTTTCCAATTTTTCACATTTGAATTTGTAAAAAGACAGATGAAGCAAAATTAAGAACAAAACTATAATTGTGACTAGTGTTTTACAGAAAGATATGCGTAAATTCGTTCATTTAGAAAAAAGTTGGAAACGAAATATTGGGATTTGGGGCTAAAAAACCAATTTTTCCAATTTTTCACATTTGAATTTGTAAAAAGACAGATGAAGCAAAATTAAGAACAAAACTATAATTGTGACTAGTGTTTTACAGAAAGATATGCGTGAATTCGTTCATTTAGAAAAAAGTTGGAAACGAAATATTGGGATTTGGGGCTAAAAAACCAATTTTTCCAATTTTTCACATTCGAATTTGTAAAAAGACAGATGAAGCAAAATTAAGAACAAAACTATGGCTCCTACAAAAATCAAAAAGCATTTTCCATCAAGTAAGTGTCATGATTTCAAATAAAACAATTCGATGTTATGGAAAGTTGAAAAATTCAATTCTGCTAAAAAAAGCTAGACGGAAACATTATTTTCCACAAAATCGTCTAAAACGGCAAATAATGCGGAGGGTACACAAATTTTGGGGTCTATGGGATACAAAATACAAGATACCCGAAAAAAACAGAATGTTGTACCACCGAATTGTGAATGTTGTACCTTCAAATCACTTTGCTATTGTACCCTCCGAATTACGTACCCAACTAAACGTAGTGCAACGACAAACATTTTTTTTATAATTCACAGAACATCGTCTAATTTTCAGATATGTTGAAAGAATCTGGATCAACATAATTTGGTTACCTGAAGCCAAACGCCACCACATCAATCGAATTTTCACATCATCATCACCTTTTTCGGACGACAAAGCTGTGAACTGACGATCAGTCAAGATTCTCCGTAGCAGATATCTTATTCCGAGGGAATGGTTGCCATAGAACAAAGCGCTGTCAGCAGTGATAGGGAGATTTTCCGTTCCTGTTTTTCTCTGGTGGTCATCAATTGAAGTTGCAATCTTTAGGCCCATTCGAACACGATATCATATCTTCTGCGTTTCATCATTCAACGTGAGTTTTCGGTAGTGCTCGTTTAAAACATCATTTGCATATTTTCAGATTGTTTTCTACACTTCACCCTAATTCATGGATTTTGGAATCGGGAACTTGCCGTCATTTTCGTTTATTTCACATCAAAATTGAAGCAAGTAACTTGAAATGATGAGCTACTGACAGCAACTATCGCCACCGAGATCGTCATGTTGGCTACCAAACAATTCTGTGTCTTAACAGCAATCACAAGAAAAACGCTCCAGATAGCAAGAAACTGTCATTCGAAAGCTAGAAAAATAAGAACTGACTTTTTTTTCAGCAGTTCATTTGATCAATTCACTATGGTTAGTTGTATCTGACGCTTTCTAACTAATTCACATTCTTTTCAGACAAATCGTTGGTGACTTAACTCAATGCTTCGTCGACATTCTTCAATGTTCGCTTACCAAAACAACTTTCCACGAGACTCAAACATTATAAGAGCCAATGGAAACAAACTGGAATACATTTTATGGAACACATTCTATTTGAATTTTCCTTCTCCGACTCGTTGCATCACTGTCGTCATACCAAACCAATGGAATTAGCTGGGCTATTACTTCAGAAAAATGGCAAAGAGTTGGAATTTTCTTTTAAGTGAGTCGTTTGATTTTGAAATATGGCTGACGGGTTCGACCTTCTCAAAACGTGATAAAAATTCAAATGTCACAAGAAAATTCTAAAACAAACTTTTTTTATGAAATCATATTGTCTGTACAATAAAATCTGGGCAAGGGGCGGCGCTTACGCGACACGCCCCTTTATGCAACAGTGGCGCACACTTTTTCGGGGATATTTTTGCGCACACACCTTTCTGCGTTTTCCCTCGCGTTTTCGTCGATTAATGAAGCGACTTTGACTAATTTTTGGTGTTTAATTTCGATTTCTTCATCGATTTTTTAAAGATTTTGAAAAAAATTTTGGTTTTTCTTCTAATTATGATTATTCGAGATATTTTTGCTGGTTTTTATGGCGCTCATTGATATGCTAACGAATTTTAATCGTTTTTTTTTTCAGCGAAAGATCGACAACACTGGACAGTCGGAAAAAATAGGAAAAAGAAGAAAAATTTATAATAATTAGACAACAAAATCTAAAATCGTGAAAAATAAAATAAATTTCAGAGCGCTCCATCATCATTCATAATTCATAATTTTTCTTTGCAGATAATAATGTTTCTTTGTTGTTTTCATACTAAAAAAGTTCTGAATACTTAATGTTCACATTTTTTCTCTTTTCCTGCGCAATTTGTTCCAGAATCGCTTCAGTGTCCAGAATTGCTTCAGTGTCCACCTAGACGGCGATGGCTTCTTGGGGTTGCCGGTTGAAGGGGGAATGTTCGTTGTGGTGTGATACTCATGTTTTCTGGATTGTTTTACATTAAAAACTCAATTTTATTCAATTTCTATGAGAAAAAGTGTGAAAAATGACATCTGAAAATTCCGCGAAAAATATCCCCGAAAAAGTGTGCGCCACTGTTGCAAAAAGGTGCGTATCAGGAACGCCCCCTTTTTCGGCCGCGGCGCGCCCACGTTTTATTGAATAGACAGTAGAATCCAGATGAGGAATCAATCGCAGATTGTTTGCCTTCTGAATGGGTGTCTGATTTGTAGCGCAAGCTTGGAAAAAGGAGAAAAGAATGAAATGTGAATCGGTGTCTTTGCATGGTGATTTGTCAGCCACGCCGATTCATTTAGTCTTCATAGTGAAATCATGTTTTTCTGTGTTTCTGCATGTATCTGTCCCTTTTTTGTTTCGCCCAATACATCTGCTCAACTTCTAATTCAATTTCCTGCTAGTTGTCTAGAAAAGAATGTTCTTATTTAAGCTCTGTGTGATTTTTTATCAAACCGAGCTTCACATGTCAGTAAAGTAAATGTAACCATGTCCGTTCCAACAAGGAGGTGTTACATGCTGATGAGACCAGCACCTCCTTTTATTTTCTTTTTTTCATTTGACTGTCCATGCACTTGGTCGAAACAGTCTTTTTTCAATTTCATCCGAAACGCAAAAAAATAAAGCGTTTTTTCAGAACTTAAAGCAATTTATTGAATATATTTTGATGTCAGGGAAATTATAACAAAAACAAAAATAACGGCATGAAAATAATAACAAAAATCGTGTCTATAAACTTGGTTCCTCTACATTTGAGCAGCGTTGTTTCCATCCACTTTAACATGGCCATAGACACCTGCAAAAGCCTTGTTCTTCGAATACGTTGGATGACTGCTTTCAACCGAGAAACCAGTCATTGCTTCAATCTGACATTTTTTTATTACTTGTGTTTCATAACCACAGAAACCTACAAGGTTTTGGTACGGGCGTATGCAAGCTCATTCCATCTTCATCGGAGTAATCGTAGTCCGTAAACTGGATAAGTTCACTTGCTGTCACTCTGGAAAACAGCATACTTGAATAATCAGGACCCGGCGGGCCCGGGTTTTTAAATTTTCAAATTTCAGAAGTTTTTTCAATTTTTTTGTGAAACAAAAATGGTACCTTATCTTGAAAAAAATTTTATTTTACAGAAAAATTGTTCATTTTTTCTACTGATCTCGAAACAATTTTCCGAAAAGATGAAAAAGAATCTAAAAACTGGGTATAAAATGACCAAAAAAAGTGGGTATGAAATGACCAAAAAAAGTGGGTATGAAATGACCAAAAAAGTGGGTGTAAAATGACCAAAAAAGTGGGTATGAAATGACCAAAAAAATGGGTATGAAATGACCAAAAAGGTGGGAAAAAATTCAGTGTCACGTTTTTTCTCACGTTTATTTCTATTTTAAAAAATCCAGAATTTTTATCGAGGAATTTCTGTACTTTTTACTTTTTTTAGGAAAATTGTTTCCACGTTTTTCTCTTCTCCTTCAGAAGTCCAGAATTTCATCGCTCAATTTTCTGTACTTTTTCATCTCACGTTTATTTTTTTCCCAATATTTTCAAATAAATCGTGTAAATTTTTTTCCCGGCTTATTTTCTAAGCTTCAAATTTGCAATAAAACCCGAGCAGAAAACTGGTACTATTTGTTCATTTATTCAACCGCATATTATATATGGAACAAATAAAGAGAATAGTTTACCAAAACTTTGTGATTTCAACAACAAGAGACGAGAAAATAATTTTTTGAAAATCACAGGCTCTTATATCATCAATACTTTATCAGTTGACAGATTTTTAATATCACAGTTATTTAATATCAAAAATGCAAAAATTAAGTATCTACAATAATAGTTGTTTCCCACAAATTTCAGCAGAAAAGCTCACCCAGGAGCCAAGTTATACGCGTTTATTATTTCTGTAATTTGGATGTGGTTGGCTCCTGCCTCAGAAATGTGTCTTTGAACTGGACAATTGTTTCCGAATCCTTTTGCAATTAGAAGCGGGTAGATGAGCATTGTCAATTCGGCAAATTGAAGAAAATGAAATGTGGATTGAAGAAAATGAAATGTCAGTGTCTTTGCATGGTAATTTGTTAGCCACGCCTATTCATTTTGTCTTCATAGTGAAATCATGTCTGTCTGTATGTCTGCATGTATCTGTCATCTTTTTGTTTTGCCCAATACGTCTGCTCAACGTCTAACTCAATTTCCTGCTAGATATCTAAAAGATTTTTCGTCAGAACTAGCTCCAACTGTCTGTAGAGTGAATGTAACAATGTCCGTTCCAACAAGGAGGTGTCACATGCTGATGAGACCAGCACCTCTGTTCATTTCTCTTTTCATTTGACTGTCCATGCACTTGGTCGAAACAGTCTTTTTTTCAAAATTTGTCCAAGATTCCGAAAAATGAAGTTTTTATAATTATATTGATGCCAATACTGAATGAATTTAACTAGAACAGTTTTCCCATAAAAAAGTCTCAAAAATCATAAAACCGAATTGTTTATTTAACATCCTAATTTTTTGAAGTTTGTTTTGGTTCGCTTGCTCTGGCGTTCCGTGTCAAAGTCACCAAAAGTTTTTTGTCAGAGCTAGTTTCAACTGCTTGTAGAGTAAATGTAACAATGTCAGTTCTGACAAGGAGGTGTCACATGCTGATGAGACCAGCATCTTTGTTATTTGCATTTTTATTTGACTGTCCATGCACTTGGTCGAAACCGACTTTTTTAAATTTCATTCGAAATGTAAAAAATTTTTAAGTCTTTGAAAAATTTATTGAAAGTATTTTGATGTCAGGAAAATTATTAAAAACGAGTTGTAAAATCTTTAAAAACCGCTTGGATCGATGGTCTTCCTCCTGTGTTTGGGTAGTTGTCAAAGAATTGCAATCAAACTGAAACTGATTTGCTTTTTTCAGTTACTCTCTGATAGAAAACCATTGCAATTTGAGCTCAATTATCTCGGTTTTTATGAGAGGTACCAAAAATCTGTCAACTAATAAAATGTAGGTGATATCATAATGAACATTTTATCAGTTGACAACTTTTCCATATTTTTTAAAAGAATCGAGATAATTGAGCTCAAAGTGTAGGTTACAGTATAAACTTACCATATCACACTTCCTTTGATGGTCCCCTACAGAGACTTGCTCCAAAAATTGTCTTCCACATTGGCACATGAAACGGAAGCACCTTCTGAAAAAGTTAAGGGTTGAATGTCAGAGACCTGGAAACTTACGTGTGAGCTGAAAAGCTCTCATTTATAGCTACACAGTTGTTCACATAGCCACATATTCCATTTCGCTCGGGGTAGGTACAGATAAGAAGGATCCCTCCGGGTGGGTACCTGTAAATGAGAGGGTTTGAAATACGACTCAAAAAAGATTTGGTTGGAAACATATTTAAAGGTGGGAGGACAGGAGATTTTTCGTAGGATTTTTGTAGCCAGGGTATGCATTCTACCGTGACGGTGTACAACGCTTAATGTCACTCTGCTTACAACTGTCGTCCTCGCCTTTTTCTATGTAATCAGGCGCCGGCTTTCTCTTTGCCCGCGTGGCTCAGTCGGTAGCGGCACCACACCCTCAATCCTTGCTCACACAAGTTCGACTCCTTGAGGGGCCCCGTTTAAAGGTACACACCTCGAAAAAATAGATTTCAAATTTTGAACTTACTGAGCACCATTCTGACCACTGGTGTTTTGTTCGGAGCTTGCTCTTCTGGAACTTTTGGAGCTTCTCTTCTTCTAATTTGAGCTTCAGAAATCGTGTATCTTGTGGAATAGAATTTCAGAAAAATAGGGAATACACTCCAAAAGGTCCTGATTCAGTACCAGACCATTTTGGAGCGAGGAATATTGATGAAAATCAGGGTATTTTAGACCGGTGAAAATCAGATACCAGTCAGTGGGTGAGTAGAATAGATGAATAAAAAGGGACTATTGGGAGAGTAACCGAAGGAACTAGAGAGCCAGACGGTCAGCGAGAGAGCGTGGAAAGAAAAGAGAGAGGACGAGAGAGTATTGTCCGAACACCGTCCTGTGTTTCTCAACCAGATGGGGGCGCATAAAAAAGTGCGTGACTTTTCTAAAGATACGCAGAGAAAAAACAGCTGCCTCGTTTTCAAGTTTTCTTTAAGTGTTTTCTAGTTTTTTAGAAATTTGATTTGTAGAAAATGATTGAGCATGTCAAGCGCTTCAAAATGAGTCTAAACACAAATAGGCCCTGCCCACTTTGAGGTCAAGCTCCATCCATTATTTTCGCCACAGAAAAAAAATTAATTTTGTTTTGATAATTAGTGATTTCTCTAGGTACCGAGGGGCACGAAAAAAAGTGGTCTCGTTATTCACCATGTCCGAAAGTATATGTGTACCAATTTTCAAGAAGTTCTGAACCACTGTCTGAAGACACTTCCCTTGTCAGTTCCTTCGAAAGGTATCAAGAATTAGTCCACTAACATAATGCTGGTAGAGGATGCTGGTTTTTTGAGTTCTCGGTAATCCATGACTACATACTACACACAACTATAGGAGTCCCATGTCTCTCTGAGTTATTCAAGTATATGTGCGAGACAGACACACACACACACAGACACACAGAAAAGTTTCCTTAGTAAGAAGTAGATCTCACAGGTATGTTTGTGTGTGTATGGTGGGGTCATCATCCTCCTCAATAACATAGTACGTTGTTTTCTTCCCAAGAGGAAATCTTCAAGGACTAGCATATAGCCGTTCAATACCAAACCGTCTACACGTCATCAAAATTGTTGTTGTCGAGCAGTTGTCCTCTCATTATGGTCTTCGGGTTTGCCGCGCACTAGTCTCTTTTTATTGTCGTAGGAAATATGTGTGGATGTGATTTCTTTCTGTTTTTGAGCGTTTTTCTTCGTTCTCAATTTCGAATTTCTTTTTTTCTCTTATCGTTGTTGAAAAAAAAATCCTCAAAATTTGTTTTTTGATTTTTTTTTGCAAAACCGCTGGCTTTCACATAACAGAGAGAACCTCGTAAAGATTTCCTCGTAAAGATTTTTTCAAGTTTTGCTTGTATTCTCTCCTCGCTCTCCTATCTCCTCTTCTGCCTTTTTGAAAACGAAAAGGGAATATGTTTTGATTTCCTAGGTTTTTGTTCGTGCCAGGCAACGTATGTAGCGGTGTTTGCATGAAATGTTGTTTTTGAGAAAATTAGTATTCTTATTTTTTGAACTGATACAAGAAGCAGCAATATTTTCAATTGTATTTTTTGTATTCCTAATTTCTTATTTTTTTTAAATATAGAATTCGGATTTTCTGAATTTCAAAATAATTTTTAAAATTGCTTGAGAAGCTTTTAAAATATTTCTCAAAACTTAATGTTTCCACTCCATTTTTGTTGGCTGATCTTTCAATAAAATATTTTTTGAAATTATTGCATTTTCTTGAAATTTATAAAGCCCGTCATCTTACACGGTTTGTGCTGTTGTTCATTTTGCAATACAAACTTACGTTACCTGCATCTTATTACTACCTAAATTCAACATTTTAAAATGATTTTCCAGATGTCGAAACCAATGTTCACAGTCGACGAGAAATTCGTTGCCTTCTACGATGGATCGAAACCACGAGAGGCTTCTGTCTTCGGATTCAAAGAAGTCAGAGGACGTCTTCACTATCAAATCCATTTCATTGGATTCTCTTCATTTTACGATGATACCATTCCAGTTGGAGAAGAATCTGGAAAAATGATCAAAGGCACAATGAAGGACTTCAAGAGGAGGCAAAAAGAAGCTGTGCAAGCGGCGAAGAGTCAGGAGTCGTCAGGTATCAAATTCAGCCTAAAAGATTTCCAATAAGCTATTTTTTCAGAAGGTCCGTCTACCTGTGCTGGTTCTTCGGCTGGACTTTTGGAGCCAACACCAATTGTCGGATTCAACTGGCCACCAATTCTGAAGAATGTCATTGCACTCGATCACCACCGCATCCATCAGCACTTCGAACATCAACTTCCATGTAGATTCACAGTGGACAAAATTATGGAGGAGGTGACTTTTTATAAACTATTTGAAGAACTGATCAGTGCTAGGGAAAAAAATTCGAAATCCAAATTTTTTTATCGTTTTTTTGTCGGTCACCAGAGAAAGAGAAAGAAAACAAATTCTCGGAGATCTGGAAATGGTAAACTTTTAAAATAAGTCTATTTCCTAAAAAAATAATTGAAGAAAGAAAGTTCATACTGGATTAACAATTAAAAATGTTACCAGAGTCTGAAATAGTTTCATTTCAATCTGAAATTTTAAACAAAACCCCGAAAATCTTTTTTCAAGTATTTTACGGTTTTTTTTCTTCAAAATAACGTTACTGAGTTTTTTTAAACAAGATTTTGTCGATAATAATAATTCAGTCCAATCAAAAATTACAGTACCTCGAGCACTTCGAAACATTGCCGGAAGTCACGGATGATGGACCAACCAACACAGTTCTCGTCAAGAAGAATCTTTCTATGGTGAAAAGGATGTTCAATGCGGTTCTCCGGTTTTTGGTGTCTTCTTGAAAACTTAAAAAATCGTTGTATTTTCAGAAACTTCCTTCTTTACAAACCGGAGAGATTTGGCTACAATGACCTATTGAAAGATAAAGCAAAGGAAAACAAGGTGGAGTATCAGTGTGTCAGCCAACTGCCAGATCTCCCAGCATCGGAGCTTTTTGGACTGGCTCATCTTCTCCGATTGTTCGTTAACTTCCCGCAGCAATTGAAGAACTTGAAGCTCAATAATGCGGTGATCAATGTGAGTTTTTTTTCTCTTTTTACGAACAGTTACTTTTAAAATTTTGCAACTCTTTGAATTAAGCAGTTCCATTTTGGACGGTATGCAGGGTTAGCCAAAATTATCATCTCAAAATGACAATTTTAATGAAAATTGTCAAATTTGGGTGTCTGAAAAAGTTTTTGTTTCTTGAACGTTTCATTTTCAAAATTTGGAATTATAAAACAAATTTGAAACTCATTATTCGCTCTTTTGCTTGAGAGATACCCAGATATCAGAAAAAACCCTTTAAAATTTCGAAAATCAAAACTGAAATTCATGAAAAAAGGCAATACTGTTTCAAGCAGCTTATCTTTCCAGCGATTGATTATATAAGAATTCGCAAACTACAAAAATAAAGTTCTGTGTTTGATTTGAAATCCCTAATTTTTTTCGGGGCAAACTGACAACCAAACTGACAAACAGTTTTTCCTGCCATCCAAATTTGACTATTTTCAATTGAAATAGTCATTTTTGGATAGGTCTTTGCCAGATTCAAATGAGAGCTACTTGAAATCCATAACTGTTTCAACAAAATGAACATGTTTTCAGCGCACCATTGAGTCCTTGCAAGGATTCATGGACTTCCTCAAAGAGAACCGAGAGAAGTATTGGAAAGAGGATTGCGGCTATGTGACACTCGCATCGTATATCCGACGTCAGCTGAGCAACAATGGCATGTAAATGCCAAAATTCGGAATTCCCTCTCTCATCGACTTCCATTGTATTCTCTTCTTTCAAAATTTCCCTCATATCTGATCTTATTTCCCCCATCACTTCCCCCGATCTTATTTCAAGAATCTCGTTCTTTTTCAATTGAGTAAAAAAATTTGTGCAAATAAACGCTGTAGCATGAAATCAAAAAGGTTGAGCGGCTGAAAAAGTTAAGCTCAGTGATACGGAGTTTTTGAAATTTTTCTGGCAATAAGTCAACAGAATACACTTATCCAAGCTACATGCACTTCATTCAATAATTATCACTCAAAATACAAGAGGAGCTAATGAACCTGTTTGGATGCTGTTTACAACTTGAAGGCGTACAACAATTCAAATCCAATCTCTCTGAAAGAACTGGCTACATATATTTTCACCCAGCTTGAATTTAACTCACTTAAAAATGTTTTCCGGCATTGGAGTTTCTTGTTTATAGCATGAGAGCTGGGATTTCGAATGCAACGTCTGAGATTTCGAAGGGTACACAGTCGCGTGTTGGGTTGTTTCACATGAAGTGATCACTAAATTTCTACGTAAAGTTTTTTTGTTCAGTTTAATTTCTGAAGATGTGAAATTTGAATTTTCAATACATTCTTGGGATGAATTAGTAAAACTTATTGAGTTTGAAGGAAAGGAAACTAACCCTTTGTGTATTTTTCAGCAGCTGGTAGTTGCATGACACATATGCCATGGAAGAACAAGACAAGAAGAAAAATAATACTTTTTGAATTCATTTTTGGTTGATACAAAGAGAGGAACATTTCTCTTCATATACTGAATTTTTTTCTGCGAATTTTTCAAGGCCCGCCCATTTTTGGTTTTTTGAACAATTTTAGCACCGCCTCTCAACAAACGTCATCCGAAGATCATCGGTTGAACGATGCATTGAAATAAAACATATCATTGATGAAAGGATCATTATGAAAATAATGATAAACACCAAATTAACTGGTAAATGATAATTGAACTAAAGAATAATGCAATTTGGAAATTACACAAATGAATACAAATAATTGCAAGTAAATGAGTCGTGTTCTATTGAAAGAAACAACATTTCAAGCTGAAAGGATTTAAGCCCAGGAAAATTGCAAAATCCAACACTTTCCAAATTTCCGCACAGAAAATTACTCAGAAAACAACTGCACAAACGTATGAAATGGGGTAGTCTAATATTATTTATTGAGAATCAACGAAAGGAGAAGATAATGGTAGAAGTACAAAATCGAACTTGTCTTTTTTTCGCAGGACTTCTTAGAATCTAGATAATACATAACAATTTAGAAGCTTGATAATACATATTTTTGGACTTTTCGGAATCTTGATGATACATAAAAATGTAAATGTTTCCTTTTTTGCAAAAAAAAAAGATGAACTTCAAATGCCTATAAAATCTGTTGGATGAAACTGAATCATTGAACAAACAAATTTCTAGCGATTCCAGAAGTAGCATTGAGTTAAAAAAGTTTTTAATTTTTTTTTGTTCGTGAAAGCTTTTTGTTTAAAAGCCCTGTTTTTGTTGAGTGGGCTACAAACATATATCTGAACTGTTACAACTGAAATTACATCTGAAATTTGAAAGTTCATACAACAAAGTCTACTACATATATTTTTAGACACCCAAAGTTGGCCCAATCAACTTTTAAGTTAAGCCAGCGTGATTTGTTTTTTAAAGCTGCACCAAAGCTTCTGAAAAGCTGCACCAACGCTTCTGGAAAACTTTTATGGTTTTTTGATCTTCATTTTTTTCAATGGTTTTTGAGTGATGATCAACTTCAATTATTATCAGACAGGCCGCGGTTGTTTTTTGTTATGCTAATATCTTTATATCACACAGCACAAGAAATGTTTTGTCCTGTTATTTTTTGTTGAAAAACTATTCAAAATTTTTTTTCTTATGGAAAGGTATTGAAAAATGAAAAAAAAAGTTTTCATCTGAAATAAGGTTTGAGATAAATGGTTTGGAGAAAAGTGATTCGCAGTCAGTAGGGTTCGAACATACAAGGAGGGGTAGATAAGTCATGATGAAATCGCAGAGGAGAGTATAGACAAGGAAGACACATGAAGATATAAGATAGAACAGGAATGGGAAAAACGTGGAGTGGGTAAGAGTTTTGCACATTTTGAATTCGAGGGACGAAAAATTGGGATATATGTACGAAATTTTGATTAAAGTAAACATATACTAATATTATTTAAAACTCAAAAAGTAATGACATCTTTTGGACTAATTATTTGAACAGGGGATGTCCAAGCTGTTGTTATTTCTATGTTTTCTGCTTATTCTGCACCTTTCTTTCATGCTTGAGCATTTTCTGGACGCGATCGAACATGTATGGAAAATGTTGAGATTGGAATTCAAGTCTAATGTGCTCAAAAACATAAAAGCGGGACCTCTAACATGGAATGACTCAAAAGTGTTACCCTCGAAAAAAAATCGAGACCCATATGGTTGGATAGAGCGTAAAAAGTTATTCTAGAATCCAAACGGAATAGTTGGTAAAATTTTTTTTTGAGAGTTATGTCCAAAAAGTACAAAAAAATGGCTAAATTTTCAAAAAATTGTAACTTTGTCAGTTTATGTCTGTTTGTCGAAATTCAAAATAGATAGACAATCAAATGAACATTTGAAAACAATTGTTTTTTGATTTTTTTCCTATTGATTGGATTATTGATTTTTTGAAAAAACCGAAAATTTTTTCAATATCTCAAAAATCATAGGTTAACTTTTTTTCATTATGACCATTGGATTCAGCACATTTGATTTACTACAGAAACTTGTCAATACCCCAAAGGAAGTCATGCTCACACAAGTTATGCCGAAAAATATCGATTTTTGGCACTTGGCTGCTTTGAATTCGTTGTCCTCGGCGGCCGGTATGATGAGGGGCATACTTGTTTTTGTGATTTTTACATGCATATCGTTTGCCTAGAATGTTTGAATAAAAATACTGCGAAATACAAAGTCAATTTTTCAAATGCCGTACCATTTCTTAAAATCATCATCTTGAAAAAATTAAAATTTTGACATGTGACAGGGCACATCTATAGTTAAACTTGATAGAAACACACAAAATTTTTTTATCATAATTAGAAGAACCTAATCTTATCAACGCCTTAAACAGAATTTTGCTTTAGGCCCTAGAATCAAAAATATTCACGCTTTTCCGAGCCTGACCCCTATTTTTTGTGAAGTGTGACATGTGACAGAGCACATCTATAGTTAAACTTGATGAAAACAGCCAAACTCTTGTTAAAACATAACTAATTTAACAAAATTTTATCAACGGCTTGAACAAAATTTTGAATTAGGCCCTAGTAATGCAAATATTCACTGATGGGACACCTTTTGTTTTTCATCATAACTAGTGAACGAAAAAAATTACTGAAAAACTGTTAACGCCATTCGATTTAAAATTAAAAAATACTATTAGAAAAATGTTATTAATTTGTTTCGTCTTGTGAAAATAGGTGAAACGGAAAAATGTCGATTTCGGCTGTCCAAAGCTGGAAGGATATCTTTCGGAAATCGTTCATTTAACCTACTTTCACTAGACGAACCAAGCTGATTTTATCTTTTTAATAGTGATTTTTAAATTCAAATCGAATAACAGTTTTTCGACAATTTTTTTCGTTCTCGAGTTATGATGAAAAAGAAAAGGTGTCCCATCATCAGTGAATATTTGCATTTCTAGGGCCTAATTCAAAAATTTGATCAAGCCGTTGATAAGATTTTGTCATATTGATCATGTTTAAACAAGTGTTTGGCTGTTTTCATCAAGTTTAACTATAGATGTGCTCTGTCACACGTCACACTTCACAAAAAATAGGGGGTCAGGCTCGGAAAATCGTGAATGTTTTCATTTCTAGGAACTAAATCAAAATTCTGTTCAAACCGTTGATAAGATTATGTTCTTCTAATTATGATAAAAGAAAGAGTTGGGGTGTTTCTATCAAGTTTAATTATAGATGTGCCCTGTCACATGTCAAAATTTTGATTTTTTTCAAGATGATGATTTTAAGAAATGGTACGGCATTTGAAAAATTGACTTTGTATGTCGCAGGATTCTATTTCAAACACTCTAGGCAAACGATACGCAAGTGAAAATCACAAAAACAAGTATGCTCCTCATCATACCAACTATTCCGTTTGGATTCTAAAATAAATTTTCACGCTCTATCCAACCATATGGGTCTCGATTTTTTTCGAGGGTAACACTTTTGAGTCATTCCATTTAAGTCTCCTCTAATATATTATCATCTAATATAGTACCATCTAAGTACGATTTGTCATTAGCTTTGCACTCTGATTTTTCGGGAAACGTTTTTGTGTTTTACTTTTCTCTTGACTCCTTCCAATGTGAAAAGGCAAAAGACCAATATCGCTGTACCCCGATGAAGTTGAAAGCCAGTTGTCAGTGGGATTAAATGCCTTAATTAATAAATCACGGCGAATATCGAAAAATGAAATGGCTTACTTTAATTCCAGCACATTCTGGGCTCTGTACTTGAGAAAGTGTGAAACACGATGATTTTCGGACTCCAGAGATCCAAAACATGCTTGCTTTGTAACCGTCCAGCGAAGTGGTCATGCTACCTTGCTCTAAATAGAAAAAAATGTTAATTCAAATTGATGTTTTGAAAACAAACCTGTTGCAAAAAGTCTTTCTTCCGCACTTTCTAGTCCGGCAACAACACTAAAATTTTGGATCGAACATATTTGTTGCACTTCAACATAGTTGATTTTTCCTGTTGGACTGGTGTACAGCGAAAGACAATATTCCGTTTTTGGACGTGTGAACTTAATTTAATTTAATTTGTTTATTGATCAGGTGTAATAAAACATTAGAGGGCAGGACATGAAAGACTCAGAAAAAATGCCCCATACGAGGCCGATCTGAGTAGGGGAGGGGAAACGGGATAATTTAGATATTTGACACAGGAAAGATGTAACCGGTAGAAAAAGAAAAATAGGGAGCAAATATATCAATAACGGGTAATACTGGAAGAAATTAAGGATTCAAACTCGGAAGGTAGGAGAAATCGGGTAACTTGGGAAGTGATGGCGTTCCACAGGGGAACAATTGAAGAAAAATAGTCAGAGGAGTAGGTGAATCCTGGAGCGCAAAAAACGGTTTCTGGAAGAAAAATTGGATAAGCTTGAAATTGATCCTTTTCTGTTTATTTACTGTTGTACGTAATTATCATCATCGACTCTGTTTCGTTGTCAATTGTGTACCCTGTGTAAGGTGCACTCGAATCTTTGATTTCAGTTTGAAGTGGCAACATATAGTAACTAAATGGACAGTCTTCTTCTCGACTTAAATTGAAAAAATCCTTTTCTGAAAATGACGACTTTTTAATCTCACCTTTAGTGCGATTTTTGTAACAATGCCATAATCAAACAACTGCAGGTATGATTATAAAAATAAACGATCTTTCCAAATTATAACACATTGTAGCACATAAAGTCTTGTTCAACGCATTGGTAGTGTTATCAACGGTAGAGTCAATGACTACAGGCTGACCATAAAACTCGAAGATACGTTTGCCAGACTAAAATATTGTGAAAAATATAATCCCGATGGCAAAAATTGAAACAAATAATCTGTCAATTAATGAACTAACCCCAAAACGGAATATTAAAACAAATTTCGCAAAAAAAAAAAATTGAAACACTTCTGAAATTCCAAAGATGTTCCGAACTTAAAAAACCCGGTCACTGGGTATCTCCAGCCCCGGCCTGGATTTTACAACTATTTTTTTCTTCTCTACTGCTTTTGAAACTGTAACTAACCATCGAAAACGGCATGAGAAGCAAAAGCAGGACAATATTCCGAGAATTCGTTGAAATAAGGAAAAAATTCAATTGAGGAAATGAAAAAAAAATGAGAATGAGAAAAAAAATTTCTGAAGAAAGAAAGAATATGAGCATATTAAATTTGTTGTTCTTAGCAACCCGCGGATCCATGTTTTTTTTGGAGAAAAAACAAATGTTTGTAGTATGAATTCGGTGTGGATGTTGGGAGATAATAATGAGAAACCTACCAGTTTCCTCTTGAACTACTTTGTTAGCTTTGTACGTGTTACGTGAATCTGGCGAGAATTCAAATTCGAAAGTTCTGCAAACTGAAGTTGTGTTAATCTTTTTTTGCCAGTTCCCAAGCACATGGCTAGTGTAAGAATGTCTTTTTTTTTCTTTTTGTGTCCTTCTGATAAACTAATTAAAAAAAAAACAAAAAATGCATTACACTAGTATTTATTCGAGTTGTAAATTCATAAATCCCAGGAATAAAGTATTCTGAATTAGTTATCTTCTTTCAATCCACGTCTCAAGCAACCACGACCGCATCATTGATTTCCTTGTACTCAATCGGAGATAAAGGAGAAACACGAGGAATTGCCGTTTCGTAAATATTCCAAATTGGCGACAAATCCGTCTTTTTATCAAAAACCATCGTATCGAAAATCGTGATAAGTGTCGCCATCCAGTGTTGTTCTGGAGGGAAAAAAGACCTCGGGCTAGTGTGCTGAAATAATTAATTTCTGGATATTCAAGCATTTTATAAACTTACGAATTCACGCTTCGCGTCTATAAGTGATTTGTTTTTGGTGTTGAAAATCGGTGCACCCAAGCACTCCGCAATCAAATATAATCCGGAAACGAAATCATCTCGCTCACTAAATTCTTTCCCAATCATCACGTGCCAGCTCGTTGGGTAGCTGTTGAAGCGACATTTTTGACGCGGAAAAGATTTGGAGGCGTTGCCCAAGTCAATCACACTGATCACGATTTCCTGAAATTTTTAAGTTAGCATTTCCACTTTTTATTTAATTTTTAACTTACTTTTCCCTGTTGTTTCATTGTGATGTTGTCTCGATTGATGTCGCGATGCAAATATCCCACGTGATGAAGGGAATGAAGAGCTTTCGTGAGGCTATAGGAAATGCGGAGAGAGTTCGCATTGGAGAAAACTCCATTCTTATTTCTGGACAAGACATCTCCAAGAGATTCCCCCTCTGCACTCATTACTGAAATTTTTTAAATTTAATTTCAATAATTTGAATTACAAACTTACTGATCACACGATAACTGGCGGTTTCGAAGTGGTTCTTCATCTGTGGCCAACGTTTGATCCCAATCAATTTGGTCAACACGGCGATCTCCATCTCAAATTTGCCAGACACGTCATCCGATTTTCTCGCCACTTTTGCCACCAGCACTTGATCATTGTCATGGCTATCCTGGACTTTGAAGGCGGTCGCAAAGCTGCCGTATCCAATACGGTTGACGATCTTGTATTGTTTGTTGATAAATGTTCCTTTGGTGTAGCAGGAGATCGGATTCCTGAAAAAAAACCGTTCGAAAAATTGACTCAAAGTTAAGAGTTTTTCCTTCTTTCCTACGGCAGTTAAATTACTATAACCTAGAACTGATACTCATAACTACCGTTTTTCAAGCCCAAACTTACATCATTGTCAGAACGAAAACGTGGGAAGGGAGAGAAGGCAGAGAAGAGCGGCGTATTCTGAGAAGAAAAAGGCAGGGAATGAATTGTTTCTGAAGATTTTTCCCCCACATTGACATTTTTCCGACCTCAGGAGGGGGGGGGGGTCACCCAAGAAAAAGGCCACGGCTCAGACGGGATGACTGAAAGTCTCAGGGGATCGTGTGACTGTATCTAGGTCATGACCCAACCATATTCAGGTCATGACCCAGAAAAAATTAGGTCATGACCCAGAAAAAATTAGGTCATGACCCAGAAAAAATAGGTCATGACCCAGATAAAATTAGGTCATGACCCAGAAAAAATTAGGTCATGACCCAGAAAAAACTAGGTCATGGCCCAGAAAAAACTAGGTCATGACCCAGAAAAAATTAGGTCATGACCCAGAAAAAATTAGGTCATGACCCTAAAAAATTAGGTCATGACCCAGATAAAATCAGGTCATGACCCAGATAAAATTAGGTCATGACCCAGAAAAAATTAGGTCATGACCCAGAAAAAATTAGGTCATGACCCAGAAAAAATTAGGTCATGACCCAGATAAAATCAGGTCATGATCCAGAAAAAATTAGGTCATGACCCAGAAAAAATTAGGTCATAAACCAGAAAAAATTAGGTGCTGACCCAAATAAAAGATGGTCATGACCCAGATAAAATAAGGTCATAACCCAGATAAAATAAGGTCATGTCCCAAAAAATCTAGGTCACAATTTGAAACATCTGGGTCATGACCTAAAAGTTCAGGGTTTTAATCAAATTGGTCTTTGGGCTTTTTTGCTTTTTTTTTCTCAACACTTTTTATTCCTTTGGAATTTTTAAAACTTTTTTCAATATTCAATACTTTTTATTGACTATGAAAAGAGAAATTGAAAAGAGAAATAGAAAAAATAGAAATAATAAAATCATTGAACTTTCAAACCAAGCATTCAGCGAAAATAGGAAATATCAGAGATATACAGCATGTCCGTCAATTTGTCCAGGTTATTCCGAGCTGAAGTCACTATTATTTTCACCATCATCCTCTTCTGTCTCTTCTGCGTCGTTTTCATATTGGCTGGTCTGTTCTTTAAAGGTTGTCTCCGCATGTTCGATGGTTGTTATCGGGGGTTTAATTGGGCTCGGATCTTTGTCGGGAAGAGCGTATCGAGCGAAAGTATTATCATACTTTTGTGGTTTGTTTGTCTCATCATTTATCATCTAAAATGTGAACGTCATCACATGCCTTTGATATTCCAAATTCATCGAATTTATTAAAACGTGACAAAATCAACGAAAAAAATAGAAATATGACAAATCACTATGTGTTCAACGTTCTAGCGCATCCAAGAAGCTACGATTCGACACAGGTTCATAAATGCGCCAACAAACTCATTCTTAGTATCTGCTAAATTTGTTTATCCCACTCGCCCTTTCCAAACATCGGACCTCTATTTTTTCTTGGGACCTCTAATTATTTTTTCGGACCTCTATTTTATTTTGGGACCTTTAATTTTTGTTCGGTCCTCCAAACTAGAAAAGAGCCCAAGTTTTCAAGCAGAAAATGTTTATTGACAAAAAAAATTCAAATATAAAGTTTTTTTCAAATTCAATCTGAATGTAATATTCGGTTCTTTGATTTTGAGAAATTCCAGATGAAACTATTCTAGTTGAATTCATTCAGTATTAGAATTAATAAAAATATAAAAACTTCATTTTTCGGGAAACTTGGACAAATTTTGGAAAAAGACTGTTTCGACCAAGTGCATGGACAGTCAAATGAAATGAAAAAATAAAGGAGGTGCTGGTCTCATCAGCATGTGACACCTCCTTGTTGGAACGAACAGCGAGGAATTGTCACCACAAAAAAAGTAAATTATAGAGCTGGATGAAGAATAAATTACAGCATCAAATTTTTTCTTTCAAAAAAAATAGTAAAAAAGCAGATTTGGTGGAGATATGGATATAGGCACACAGACAGACATTTTGTAGACACACAGACAGACAGATTGGTTTTTTTTCGGATAACAAGTGGATTGAGGTTGATTGGCGCTGGCAACAGTGGTGTCAGCAAAGAGTCGGAGAATGGAAACATTCGTATAATTTGCTTCTTCAAATCATAATTCCGTCTATTCACTTAATAGCTATCATTTTCCTCTGTCGAGCCAATGTCTTTCTTCCTATTCGCTTCTCCCACAGGTTTAAACTATTTTTAAAACTGGAATTTGAGAATCCAGTGAAGAATGGAGCAAGCATGAAAATGTTGATAACAATGAACGTGTCGGATCTCAGTTATGTTTGTTTTCCAAGACTTCAAGTTTCAATTATCTTCATTCCCAAAGTTTCGTTCCAGTGATCAGGAGTGAGGGATCTGAAAAAGATGATTGTTCGGGATAAGACCATTTCAAACATTAGATTTGCAGCTGAGAAGATTCCTGGGTTTGACGATTTCATGGAAAATAGGCATTTTTCAGCAAAACTAGGTGTTTTTTTCAATTATTTATTTATTTTTTATTTTTTTATTTACGATTACAAGAATCGTGGAAAAAAAGGAAAAAACATTAAAATACATGATAAGCATATTTCAAATGAATGAATTATGAATTCTAGTGAGATCAAATGTAAAATAATAGAATGAACTAGAACTAGAGTAACCATTGAAAAGAAATTGGGAGAGGAGAATAATACATGTCAAACATAAATGAAGATAGAATAATACATAGAATAGAGGAGAGTAGGACCAGAAAATTGAGCAATTGCTCAGCAGTAACTAAATCATTTTACTAAGCTCCCTATTGACGAAAAATTGTTGCCTAATTTTTGTTTTAGCTCATATGATGTCAAACATGATGTCAAACATGCTATGATGTCAAACAGGTTCATTGGAAGCGTGAAGACTTACTCTTTAAAAAATCTCGTCGCCCAAATTGTTATGTTGTCGTCCACGCGGAATAAACACATCAGTGGCAATCATTCAATTCGAGTGGATATTCAGACGCAACTTTAGTGATGAAGATCCGACATGGTGGATGACAACAAATGCATGCACTTTTGAAAGTTTCATCATATCGCTTCATCTTTCTGTTCATTGTCATACCCGACAAGTTTACTGAAAAAAATTGTTCTCAATGATTTGAGTTTTGTTATTTGAACGCTACCAAACTGAATATAACAGAGAACAGGCGGATTTCTCCTCAGAATTGCTTCAGAGAACCGTCGAAAGATTTTGTTGGGCAGTCACTTCATTTAATTTCAGTTTTGGCCGTGGAAAATTGCCTTCGTGGAAACTGAAAATATTCTTTAACAAAAAGTCCCTGACAGCATTGTTATCAAATGACCTTTGTGACGAACCTCGCCTAATGAATCTCCAGATGTGCATAGTTCCTGCTTTTCTACGACGGAGAAGAATACATCTGCAAAATTTCTGTTAAAAATTCAGCAAATCAATGATAGTTACTCACTTTTCGCGAAAAAGCTCGTTTGAAGCACAACGCTTGGTTTGTGATGTGCTACAGACGAATTCAATCACAGCGTAGCTCGATTTGTTTGACAAAGTTATATTTGGCTAATAATACAATGCTAATTTTTTTTTGGAAACTGCTATTTCCGTTCACTTTGAAACAAAAACAAAAAAAAACTACTATAAATTCTGGGACATGAGACCTTATCAATTTTGACAAAGTGCTGCTATACATTTGTGACAATTTCGATTGATGAATGCTTTCATTCTTGAAATTTCAACGGAGTTCAGGGAAGATTTTCTCGAAAAATCGAAAATTTTTATGTTGCTCAAGAGAGGTGTTATAAAGAAAAACTCACTTTTCAATGACAATTTCCATTTTTACAGTGACAGTTCTCCTAATTTTTATTCGTGAATTCCTTTGATTTGGATTGAATCAGAAATTATAAATTGAATAAATATTATGTCGTGGAATAGAATACATTGTCGGGCAATGTCCGCAATGACACCATGATGCGCAGTTGCACCGTCAGTGGAGTAGCAATAGCAAGGGGACCACGAACACACACCCTCATCGCACATAATCCGAGTAGCGGTCCGTCATCGCAACAACTGCTCATTGGTTTTTCCTCCCGCGTATAGACAGGTCCCGTCCTTATCGGAAAATCGATCACAAATAACCCCGACCCGTTGAGAGTAATTGCCATTTGCCTCCGTTCACTCTTTATTGACAGAGGTGCGCCTATTTCTCATTTTATTCAAAGTGTTGGTGTTGGTATAACATAATTCAAGTCACTGAAAATATAAAGTTTTTTTTCAGAATGTTCTTTATTGTTATGGCGCCATGCAGAAAAAAGAAGTGAGATGATGAACCAAGATGGCAACGCATATTGCGACGTATCTTCTTACTGAATACTGTGAGTCTAACACTTTCAAATAGATTTTCAGTAACTCTCATTCCAGTTGTATAACTCGAATCTTCATCTAATCCGTCTGCTGCTCTGGATCAATTAATTCATAGAAAAATTGAAACAATGGAAAAAGGTGCTCAAGAATATGTCGAAAGGCACTCCCTTCATCGTCTTTGCCAAAAAAAGGCCAAGAATGAATCACCAATCAGAGAAATGATGTTGGAATGTCGAACATTCGTCGAAAAAGGCTTCAAGCAACAATGAGCGTTTCCGAGAAGCTGTTCCTCACCGCTGTCCGATGAATATCATAAAGGTCGCACATTGATATGGACCCTCCGGATGCCAGGTCGCTGAGGTTTTCGAAACCGACAAGCACAAGAAGGTCATTTTCGGAGTCACAGCCCACAGTGACGAGCAAGGAAAACCATGCTTTCTTCCATCGGTTGATTAAACGGAGCGTCAAGTCATCGACAAAGAGGACGCTTGGTTAGTTTTTCGTAAAATCATGCCTCTCATAAAACTTTTCGTATTTAGGTTTCACTACGTTTTCTGCCAAATTCGACCTCTGCGCTCTGCTTTCAACGAAAATAAGAGAACTTTCATCACGAAGAGCATCTCTAAA